GGAATTTAGAAAAATAATTTATGGAGATTGTTATTTAAATTAAAACAAAAAAAATTAAATAATAATAATAAATTTATTTAATTAATATTTGGTGTTACCCCCTCTAACCCTAGTAACAGCTTGTAGTCGATTTTTCATTGACCTGATTAACTTTTTAATAACTTCTTGAGGAATTCCGTCCCATTCCTCTAACAACGCCGTCTTGAGCTCATTGATATTTGAAGGTGCCTCCTGGCTCGGACCCTTCGTTTGAGCTCGTCCCATAAATGTTTGATGGGATTCATGTCTGGACTAAGCGCTGGCCAGTCCATGGTCTGTATACGGACTTCTTCCAGAAACCGCTTAGTTATATGCGAAGTATGACACCGTGCATTATCGTGCATCAATAAGAAGTTATCGCCGACAAACCCCGCGTACGGAACAACATGTTCTAGGAGTATATCGGTAATATACCGATCGGCTGTCAATCCTCCTCCTCGGCCCCCCCAGGCACGAAAACGAGTTCGGTTTTCTCGTCTAAAGAAATTCCAGCCCACATCATACAAGAGCCGCCGCCATATGCAACAGTTTCAGCGAAACAGCAGTGCGAAAATCGTTCACCTGGGCGCCTATACACCCGACATCTTCTATCACTGCCATGCAGACACATTCTGCACTCGTCAGTAAACAAGACAGCCCGCCATTGCTCATGGTTCCAATTGAGGTGCTCTCTAGCAAATTGCAGGCGCGCTTGTCGATGGCTTGGCGTCAATTTCGGACCAGTTGCAGGACGTTTTGGTGTAAAGTTGCCTTCCCTCAGGCGTCTTCGAACTGTCCACTCGCTTACAGCCACTCCTCGAACACGTCTTAGCTCTTGCTGCACGTCGACACCAGTCAGGTGGCGATTTCGTTGAGACGTAGAGACTATGAACCGATCGTCGATTTGAGTTGTGCACCTGAGACGGCTGGTTCTCGGTCTCCGGTCGAATACACCAGTCTCTACAAATCTTCTGTATACCCTTGATACAGCAGATTGGCTTAGGTGCAGTTGAGCAGCGACAGATCGCTGACTAAGTCTCTGTTGCAAAAGAGCAACAACTTGAACGGCTTCTTCCGGTGTTGTATCCATGGTTTTGTCAAAATAGTGATGGCGATTCACGGAGATGCATTCAGGTCAACTTCTGGAAAGCGACTGTAGGCATAAGCCGCATGCGGGAGGTTTTATAGGGTTAGTTGGTCGCCCAAATCGTACTGGGTACCGCGAGTAAATTTTCCTGTACTGCCTATTTTATTTTATTTTTTAAAACTACTGAATCGATATTGATGCTAATGGTACATTTTTAAAGCTGAAGTTTCAAGCATTTTAAACATATAACGTTTTTATAATTCGGTTGTAAACTTTTTGATAAAACCTACTCTGAATGCGCGCTTAGACATTGAGTCGGTTTGGTTGCTCGCGAGTGTATTTCAACTTTCTAATTTGTGATTTCAGTGCAAACGAGAGTTGATATTAAAAGTGATATAAGGTCCATTTGCCAGGAATTAGATTGGAAAGGCCCTTATTTCATCTCTATTTCTGGTTACATAATCGATGCCCAGCGGTATGCACCGCGGACTCTGGATTAGGAGGTCCCGGTTTCAATTCTCGGTAGAAAAATTATGGGAAACTTTTCCAAAATTGGTTCCAGTGAATTCCGTATCTGATACTCATAGTACACGGAGTTTGAGACAAGGGATCCACTCCCGTCCTTTCCGACATCCGTCCGAAACAAACACTGTCAAATAAGTAATACTTGAATGGAGACCACGAACCGGAAGGCGTTCATTGGGACGGCCTCCTACTAGATTTTAGCAGCAGTAGAGCGCCTTGTTAAAGATTTCGTCCAGGGAAGTACTGCCACCTTACCTATTTCTGCTGACAAGCAGTAATGTTAGCACAACTGAGTTCCGAGTTTTAAAGGTGCTGGTGAAATTACAGGCACATGGGGGACTTGTCAACTTACGTCTCAGGGTGACAGGTGCAGTGGCAGTGTCCTACAGATCTTAGCTTTGGACAGGTGTCTAGCTTACCATTAGGCGCAGGACTTGCTCGTCCCGTCACTTTATATTATAAAAAAATATTATTGCGAGCTATCACAGGTGTCGTTTATAATGCTAACAAAAAAACCGCGTTATTATATCAAAAAGTCCGTCATTAATAATAACTAATAGACGCGGCAGTAGCATTCGAAAATATTCGTGGTTTCCGAATTTTCCCTATGTGTAATTGTATTTACGACCTGGGTCCCAAATTCTGCTGTTTTTTTTTTAAATCACAGGTTATTGTAATTCTATTCGAGATTTCCATTAAGACTCTCACAAGTGTTCTGAATTTTCCACAAAAAAGAACATGTCTGAAAATACCTATTACGATCAAATCTAGTCATAGAAAGTTCATTTCTCGTACGTCGTAGGCGTACAACGCGTCACCGCAGGAGTCAGTGACGTCCAATATGTACAATCATTATTATTAGACGTTCCACGTGCAGCTTCGTAGAAAGCCAAGTTTTGATTCTATGTTGTGGGAACGCGTCTGTCTAGGCGTGAGAAATTACACCAACTTCCTGGACCCCAGGTCTTAACACTGGTCATTGTAAGAGACTGCAATAAGATATTGCAAGTATGATATTTGTTATTCTGCTAAAATCTAGTTGTAATGGCAGTGAATCACGATAGAGTGCAATGGAATGGCATTCATTCACTCCCGGTTCCTATAATCAACTCATTGTCTTCGGTTATCCTAACCGTTCGTAATGACCCTAACAATAACCATTCGTCAACATGTGTTTCACATTGTTTTTGACCCGACTACCTGCGACAGATGGTCGTCGGTTATCCGCTTACCAATGGACCTCACAGATTCTCTCTACGTTTCGTTATTCCAAAAACCATATTTTAGCCGATATTTATTAAAAAAGAATATACTATAATATTATTCTACATTTACAAAAAAACTCAAACAAACAGTTGAAAAAGTGGTGTATTACTCAATTTTACGTATTGATTATGATCTAGAAGAGGTTTGACATGACACCGGTGAGGAAACAAAACGCAGTCGCGTCACTACGTTTGTCAAACAGCGATTTGCTTGGCGGAAAGAATTTAAAAACAACATCGAACTAAAGAGCAGTGTTAAACATATTCAAAAAATAAAAGTGTAATTATTATGGATGCTACTCCGGTAAGTTACTTGTTTGATTATAATTATTTATTTAGAATGTTACACCACCCATTAAATCCACATTACATCCTTAATTATAAAGAAATTAACAATATAATGTATAAACTCACTAAAATTATTACGATGTATTACATAGCAAATAACGTATACTTAGTGCTATTCTTGTGAATTCACATAGAGTAGGTACAAGAAAACAAGTCCGTTATTCTGCAACATCATTTAGGGTTTGCCAAGCACATGCGAGCGGAGCCTTCTGATTAATAACCATTTGATGAACTGTTAAAATTGTTTGTAATTGCATGTTATGGTTACAGAAATCCAAAGCGATGTCGAAGGACGATATTGCTTGCTTAATAGATGTTATTCAAAGTCGCCCAATTATAATAAGTAAAGAAACTAACGCATCAACCAACAAGCATAAGGAGGAAGCTTGGGACTCTGTAACGGTGGCTTTTAATGCTCGCTGTAGTTCAGTCCCAAGAACCAAACAACAGTTGAAGCTAAAATGGGACAATTTGAAAAAGGCCGCACGTAAGAGAGCACAACAAATAAGATTAAATCACTTGAAGGTAAATTAAATGAAATAGGTATTAAAGATATATTTATTTTGGTTGCATTGGAGTAGGCAATATTCAATTTTTTTAACTTCTCAGACTGGTGGTGGTAAGCCCGATTTCATTCTACCTGATGAAACATTGGAAAAGGTATCAGGGCTCCTAGGGTCTACATGCTCTGGATTTGAGGTTCCTTTTGGTGGTGATGGTGTTGGGGTGGTGCTCAATGCGGACACTATGATGGGTGATGGTAATGACTCTCTCGCCATAGAAGAAGTTTTTTATATTGATGAAGGCACACCCAACGTTCCAAAAGAGGATAAGAACTTGGTTGAAACTCCCAGCAAAGGTAGTGTATAATATAACTTTCTCAATCTTGCGTCATATTTGGAAATATAAATTAAGGTTGCCTGGAAGAAATTGCTACTTAGCAATAAGGTCATCTGTAGTACTTTGTTTTACTCTGTGATATTAATTCCTGTTATGTCATCATTGTATTTTCATGTGCAATAAAGAATATTTAATTCATTTAAATTTTATTATTTTAGCTATTGAAAAAAATAAAAAACGATTGTTTCAAAATGAAACGAAAGATGGAAAGAAGTTTTATTTTGGGACACCTATGCCAACGCAAGTAGCACCCTTGAAAAAAAAAAGTAAGTGTTTTATGCTTTTTAATTACTACATTTCATGTTCACTTTTTCCTGCAACTTCATCTAAGATATTTTGATTAGAACTGTACAGCATATTACATTTTTGCACGAGTTCTTAATTAGGTATCTATGTTTAAAATTGTATGAAAATCAGTCCATTCATTGTTAATATCTCACTTAAGAGAGGTAACAAATTCGAATATCAGTGTGTAATAATAATATTATATTATAATAGAAATATAGAGGTCATATGCTTTCATTACAGCGGCCTAATATTTTTTAAACACTGAAGCCTAGCATCCCGTATATAGTTGCTCAACCGAATCAGTAAACTTTTTGTAGGTACTGTAACATTTTATGTAAAAAGAAACCAGACAATGATGGGCGTCAGGCTCGGAACATAGCAATTACTAGGTATTATGAAATGAAAACAAAAAAATTAGAATTAGAAATTGAAATTTTAAAATTAGAATTAAGTAAGAAAGTAAATAATAATTAATTTGTATGTTTTTTTTACTGTTTTAATTTGTGCCATAATTAAATAATACAGTTTTTTTCTTGTAATTATGCATCTTTCATTTCTGCTTTGGTATGGACATAATTTGGTGGTTGTGCAGAGAAGACAGCATTCTGGCAAAATCATTTTCAAAGTCAAAGTCAAAATATCTTTATTTCATAGGTAAGCAAATTACACTTGAAATCGACATTTTGGATAAGGAAGGTAGAGCACAGTGGTCGGCTGTGGTTTATCCAGTAGAAAATGGCTGGCCATGAGAAGATAAACTGAAAGAAATGAAATGATAATGTAATTATTGTACAACCTCATTTCAAATTAAAGACATTGGTTTGTCATAAGTGTGTAGATTACTACTACTCACTTGTTAAAGAAATCCATTATTAGTGTTGCCCTTTCCGTACATGTATTATTGGGTTCTTCTATACTATTTAATATGGGCACTTCTTCATTAGGAACTTCCACTTCTGGTGGTATATCATCCAGTTTATGCAATCTACATATATTGTGTAACACAGCAGTTGCTATGATAACTGCATGGATTCTATTTAGGCTTAAGCGCATCGTCAGGCCTATCACTGGAAATCTTCTTTTCCACACTCCAAAACATCTAAAAATATATACTATCATGTAACATTTCGCATTGTTAAATAGGTACCTCAGTATAGCTTGTACACATAAATATTCAAATAAAATTGAAGTATGATTAAATGTCTAATCAAGTATGATATTAGTATAATATGGATGAAAGCAGTCTAATAATTTGATACGGGCAAATGAGTTGATTGTTCAGATGAGTATAAATATTACAGGATTTATTTACGTGCCTTTCAATACAATTTCTTGTTCTAATGTGAGCTACATTGTAAAGCTGTTCACCTCTACTTTGAGGGTTCAATAAAGGTGTTAATAGGTATGGCTTCAGAGGGTATGCACTATCTGCAAGCAGCCATTTGGTGCCGTACAATCCACTTTCGCACTGAGCTGGAAGAAGTAAATTACATAAGTGTGGTGTTCGGCTTATAGTCTAATGAAAACCAATGTATTACTGCCTACCTCGAAGTTCAGAATTATTAAATATGGTGGCATCATGAGCTGAACCAGGCCAACGGGCTACAACATTCATAAATAATAACTTGGCATTACATACAGCTTGTACATTTAATGAAAAGTAGCCTTTTCGATTCCGAAATTCTTCCCCAGTGTGTGAGCCTGCATAAAATGAGAATGTTTTCAGTAAAATTGCAAATATAAACCTTAAATTTAATTTAAAAAAGCTATTAAGTACTTACAAGGAGATTGTATTCTAATATGTGTGCCATCAAGTGCACCAAGAACCCGAGGAAATCTTGCAATTTCATAAAAATCTTGCTCAGTGTTAGTTTGCATATATATGTACTTGTTATACAATTGTGCAATAGCACAACTAACATCGTACACTATACGGCACGCCGATGCCTTAGATACACCAGCAAAGTCAGCCACCGACAAAAGCATCGTGCCTAATGCATAAAACCTTAGAGTCAGTAGGAGCTGGTGAAGAGGCTTGATGCCGTGATTTCTGCGACAAAAATAAAACGTAACTCAGTTGAAAGTTAATAAGATACAGCACAATAAATTGTAATGATACTGTGTTATTATTTTGTGAGTTTAAGGTTGTGCAAATAACATACCTGGTGCTCTTCACTGTTAAATAAGGATATATTTCATCTAGTAACTGTTGCACTGATGTTTTATCCAGTCGAAACCTTACTTGGAATTCATAAAAATCTAAAGTGTTAAAATGGTCCACTCTCACTTTATAACTCCTACGATTACTTTCTTCGTCTGAATCCGAAGTACTCCAGTCGGATAAGCCTTCTAGGTCACTTAAACTGTCTGAACTAGACATTGCAATTAATTAATAAACAAAATTTGGAGAATACTACCACGCAACCGACGCAATTTGGGCGGTAACAAAATGTTTAACGACAAGTAGCTTTGACAGTTCGTTGACGTTTCAAAAATAATATAGAAACACTATGAACTGTCATCCCCATACTTTATCTTAACTATTCGTTGTTTGTGGTCCTCCCATCCGTAGGTAGCGAGTCACTGGTAACATAGCTTACGAAACGTTTTTTACAGAAACGGTTTTGACTTACGCCTGGTTAAGAAGAGTACCGATGGTAAGCAAAACGGATCGTTTTCTGAATATAGGAACCGGGCACAATCAATCACTAAAAACCGATAATCAGTAGTAGACGTGCCTTCGACTCGCCATTAAAGTGCAGAATACCAAAAAATGCAAAGGCAGTTGAATAGCAACTCGATGGCTAACCACTGAAAAGCCACTAATTCTTAACTTTTAGCAGAATACTAAACATACAAAATCCTTCCATTGACTACACACACACACAGCGCCCGTCACCCTGTGACATTTAGTAGCAGTAGATCTCCTTGTAAAAGAGCTCGTCCAGGGTAGTACTGCCTACCTTACCTACTTCTGCCGCTAAGCATCAATGTGTTCCGGTTTTGAAGGGTAACAGTGCTGATGAAAATACGCGGGCGCAGTGGCGCTGCCCACCAGATCTTTGCGATTTAAGGCTCTGTGCTGCATTCCAACTGTAATGGACGGCATTTTGCTTTGGGGTAATGCCGCCGATATCAACAGAATCTTTGTCCTGCAGAAACGTGCAGTTAGGGCAATTTACAATCTGGGCCCCAAAGTATCTTTGAGAGATAAGTTTAAGGAAATTAACATTCTTACACTAGCCTCACAGTACATTTATGAGAATGTAATTTATGTTAAAAGGAATAGTAATTTACTTATGAAAAATAGTGACAGACATAACATTAATACGAGGAATAGAAATAAACTAGCTTTTCTTGATAGTCGTCTTCACAAAGTCAAAAAATCATTTAAGGGGCAATGTATACGCTTCTATAACAAGATTCCGGTTGATATACAAAATTTGCCTTACACGAGGTTTAAAACTATAGTGAAACAAAAACTTTATACTAAAGGTTATTATACAACTTCTGCGTACTTGGATGACAAAAATCCGCGGTAGTAACCCGTTTAGCTCATGGAGGTAGTCTCGATCTCTGATGTTTCAAATAATAAAAAAAAATATTGTAAATGTTATTTACAAAGAGCAACCCCTAGAGTTTCTTGCTCATTCTTCTCAGGGGAATCTGCCTTACGAATGAGCGGTAGAGTTTAATATTGTGACGATTTCAAGTGTAATAATGCTTACCTATGAAATAAAGATTATTTTGAATTTGAATTTGAATTTGAATGGGCGTGTAGCTTACCATCAGGGGCACGATCTTGTTCGTCCCGTTACTTGATATTTAAAAAAAAAGACATAAGATGACAAGTCCCATAATGCGCAATAATTTCATTTAATCGGAACGCATTAAAATAATAACATAATTATATTTAATTATAATAATTCATATCCATTGTGCAACAACCGCGAATACCTGAGCACCTCGTACGTGATTTGTATGTAATTTTTCAGGACGAAGATGAAAATGTGTTGTAAAATGTAGTAAACGAGACAAGGAGACGATATGCAAAATGTTTTTTTCTTTTTCGCTACTATTACATAGACAAGCAACAGTAGTATTTCTGCCGCCACGCCAGCAGTGCGAGGATTATTAGTTCCGATTTTAAAGGGTAAGGGTACTTGGTGAAATTACAGGCACATGAGACTTAATACCAACTTATTATACTACGCTAATATAGTCGACTGTCAGCAAATATCAACGGGTAAAAAATGCTAGGGGTCTACTCTCGATTTCCGTCCGAAACAATTACTGCCAAATAAGCAATACTTGACCAAATGAAAAGACGCGTGATGCGAATGAAGCTTCATACTTGATACTTGTCTTTTAATTTTGTCGAATGTTACTTATTTGACAGTAATTGTTTCGGACGGATGTCGGACGGAGATCGAGTATACCCCCTAATCAGACGGTAATAAAGTTTGATAACCGGTTAACCTAAACATTGCCTAGTTAAAGTTTAGCCAAGATGCCGCTAGATGGCATTGAACCGTTACGTAAACTTTTTGGAACACGTTTATGAAGACGTTATTGGAATTTGAGTAAATTAATAAGTTAATTGTTAAAGCAACGATGTAACTCGTAAAATCAGTAAGATGAAGTGGCAGCAGTGGCTTACGTGACGTTAACCACGTGCTTCAAAAGCTAGGTGTCAAGAGGAAAACAGTCTTAATTTTATAGTCTCGCGTAATTAAATAGAAGGTTCGATCCACGTAAATTTTATTGTAGAAATAAAGAAAGAGAATTGGGAATATTCGGGAAGTTCTTTATTATTTTTGGGAACAAACTGAAGACGTGTTGTTTTCTGCTAATACGAACAAACATCTGAAGCCGAATACAGGACAATATTATAAACATAACCTATATCAACTTTATAAACCTCAGCTTCTACAGGCCGTACTCAATTAGCGTTTTTGACGCTTTGATAATTAATCACAAGTATTGATAGGTCTCCTTATTATTATGGACGTCGTCAAAAACACTGGGTAACAAAATACACGGGATGTCGCCATCTTTCTTTCGAATGGGTGGACAGGAACTAAAGAAAAGGGGGATAAAAAGGTGGGAATGCGATGAAAGAGGTCGCTTTGTCACAATCTACAAAAAGCGTTCTGTCCATGCAATAAGAGCGAAAACGTTATGGATATTTCAGGAGTTCCCATGTAACGTTACTAATACACATTTACATGACGAACGGCCATGGAGTAGAATTCTTTGCCTGCAAACTTTTCAAGACGAGAGTGAATAGGCATTACTTAGGTGTACATGCTACATCGTCGACCTTATCGTCACTTTCCAACAGAATCCCAAATCTTGTCATTTTAAGTCATTTCAGTTGTACGTCGATAGAGTATCAATGGCAAGACTGTATTGATGACATTTTTTTGACATTTGACATTGACATTTGGTTTTCTGCTAAAAGTTAAGAGAAGTGGCTAGCCATCGAGTTGCTTTTCAATTTGCCATTGCAGTTTTATGATATTCAGCCTTCAGTGGCAAATCGTTGATACGTCGATGGTGAAGTGTATAGATTTTTTTTTAAAATTTATTTATCTTGTCAATTACATTTTTTTACAAATAAGATAATGTTCTCCCAAACTTCATAAAAGTTTATCGGGAGAGTTTGGTTGCTACGCTTACATTACAATCACATAACATTTCATTCTGTTACTCAATAACAACTCTCTAAATTACTACAATGTATCTAACAAATATTTCTTTAATTCATCAAATCTTACACTATATTTCATTTAAAGACTATATTACTGATTAAACGAGATAAGTAGCAGTAGAGCTCCTTGTGAAAGAGTTCGTCCAGGGAATTACTGCCACCATACAAATTTCTGCCGCCAAGCAGTAATATTAGCATTACTGTGTTTCGGTTTTGAAGCGTAAGGGTGCTGGTGAAATTACAGGCACGTGGGTCTTATCAACTTATGTCTCAGGGTGTCGGGCGCAGCGGCAGTGCCCCTCAGATCTTTGCAAAGCTCTGAGTGGCACTGCAACTGTTACGGACAGACGTGTAGCTTACCATCAGGCGCACGACTTGTTCGTCCCGTCACTTGATATTATAAAAAAAAAGTTTACAATTATGGCACCTCTGCCGTATTAAATATACATTTTTTCTACAGGTACATATTAAATTGCTAGAACTCTCCAATGCGGTAACAGTAAAATAAACAATTAATCAAATTTATTAATTTTGAAAAGAAAAAGAAAAGTATGTCAGAAAAGACGTTAGAATATGACAAGGGGATCCCATGGAAATCAAAAAAAAGCCGATAAGCATGTTTTTTAGGCAGGTTTTTTGGTTTTTTTTTCAATGAAGAAGTTGCAATTGGTATGTTATGCTACTGTAGGAGCCAGGCAGTTTTCAATAAAAAGGTCAATGTAAATCTTGAAATTGCGTATAATTTATTCAACCATTTTTTTACGAGAATGATATATCGACTGCGAACCGGCAACCGGCACTATATCAATTTTGACAACTTTACAGATCTTTCTAATTTGTGCTTCACCGGTGAAGAAAAAATTGTTTGAGTCATTTATAAAGCATGTAGTTTATTAAATAAAAATACGTAGTGTACATACATGTGTAAGAAAAAATATTTAAAAACTACGTATTTTTATTTAACAAATCAGATGCTATATAAATAATGCAAATAAGTTTTATCTTCATCCCGTTAAGTTGTCAAAATTGAGATAGTACCGATCGCCAGTTCACAGTCGATATGCCAAGTTTATAAAAAGAACATTCCGCACAAAACCGCTTCAAGATTTACATTGACCTTATTATAGAAAACTGATTGATCCGGCTCGAAGGACCATGTAGAGGCTAGGCAGTTTTCAAAATTATACGCAATTTCAAGATTTACATTGACCTTATTATTGAAAAAGGCCTTGGCCTCTACAGTTACAAAACAGGACAAGGAACTAACGTTTTTGTTTATGATGTTAGCAATGTAGTCCTGCGAGGTTGTTAGTATTTTACCACACTGTGGGATTCTCAATACCACAGCGTACACATATTTCCACGATCCTATGCGATTTTCGACTGTGTACACTGAATATAAGGATACATATTCGAACAACATAAATACACGTAAGCCAAAATGGCACTCCATATCAAATACGTCATGAAAACCGCAGCTGAGCAGTTGCGGCAAACAAGAACTTGGACCGAATTGACTTTAGCTGAATCAATATTGACTTAGGTAATTTGAAACTACGTTAATTGGTATTGTTTGCAACACAAACATGGCTACACTAGTTTACAGCTGGTACTAAAACTAGTGTAGAGGTCACTGCGAAAGAGTTCGTCCAGGGAAGTACTGTCACCTTCCGGGTTTCGCGCACTTTCCGGTAACCGATTTCAATAAAACTTGCCAAATAGAACGACTTCCACGAACTTTCGAGGTCGGCTTTTTTTTTACGAAAGTAATGATTTTGGATCTAAATCGCGTATATTGTTTTTTCAGTCAACCGTAACCATAGGGCCTGAAAGGTCGAATTGTTTGAAAAAACAAATATATCGAGTTCTTAGGTTTTCGTGATTGTTACATATAGGAAATGAAACTATTTTTCCGGATTTAAATCGCGTATATTTGTTTTTTCAAACAAACCAACGTTTCGGGCCCTTTACAGGTCCCAT